ATCAAGTGGAATAGAACAAAATAGTCTTTGTTTAAACAGGAAACTAATTCTGGTATTGTACAAGGAGAAACAGTAGAATACAGAAGAAAGGAAAGAAATATTGATGAGAAGATAATCCAAGTAGTATATTTTTATTGAAATGATGGTATGGAAAAATGTGTGTTAGCAAAGCAATATTCCTGTCGCAAAATATTAGTTTTACATGGAGTTACATAGATTTATATATATTTTATCAAATACATAAAAGGTCAGGTGAAAACAAACTGTGAAATTCAGAAAAGTATGAAAAGTATGACATTCCCAAGGGCCAAAAGCAGAGCTGCTGTGAGAAGGCACAACTCCATTTAGTCCCAGGTGTGCAGTACAATATACCTTTGCTGGAAAAATAAGAGCCTTGTGTAGTATCTTTGGTTGGGCTCACAGGAAACATTAACATTTTAACACCAGTGACTCAAAGGTGCCAGACAAGGGCTGTATTTTATGTCTGTTCAGTGTTCATATGAAGTGAAGTACAAATGGGCTGGGGTTTGTGCTGCCTCATTTTTTGTACAATTATTCTAAAATTTCTGAGACACTAGACTTGATTTTCCCAAGAGTCACCAAGACTGGCTGAAAAAAGAAGCACAACTAATTCTTGCAATTAGCTCTGACTCTCAGGCAGATCATCACAGTTGTTAAAGTGCATTAAATATGACCGGCAGCTCTTTGATCTGGTGCTCTAATCCTCTCAGGACTTCTAAACTGAACAAAGGTGGGTGGATCAATAGTGAGAGGGTTTCCTTCCAGGAGAAGAAGAGCATGTGCAAGTCAAGAGTTACAGTATTGCTTTTTGTATTGTTAGTAAATAGATGTCCCTTCACACTGCACTGCAGTGATCATCTAAATTATCTGTGCTATATGCTCTAGGACAACTCTGCTTAAACAGGGAGGTTGGACCATATGGCCCGCTGTGGTCCCTTCCAACCTGACTGATTCTGTGATTCCATGATCCCATATATTTGGGACCTCCAAGGCTACACCACTACCATGTCACTCATAGGATGCCACTTCTCTCTGTACCCCATGAGCTTTTCCTTGTACTCTTCTCCATCCTACAATGACTTGATACTTGTGAAATAAAAGAAAGATGCCCTATGCTGTTTCTTGACTCATTGGTGTAGCCTGTTGTTTAGTTGCACATCCTTTGTATTCACTTGCAGCTGATAGGAAGTCACCAGGCTAATAGCACCTGCATAAATCTGATGTGGAAAGGACAGCAGGCTGGGCCCCTGGATCTGAATGTGCAGAGAAGCAAGCCTAAAAGCAGTGTGATAGTGGAGCAGATTCTTTTTGGGTGTAAAATGGAGATATATATGGCACTTTTAAAGGAAAAGAAACCCCAAAACCCAGCTCAGAAAACAATTTGGCCTTTTGTCCTGTCTCAGTTCTATTTCACATCATTATATTGTACCTACCTTCATCCTGCCATCTAAGAAATAAATTTAGTGCCCCTTACTCTTGTCTATTGACATGAACTGATGAAGAGCTGCTGTGTTTCACTGGCATGTGAATGAAATCATCTATTTCCTCACTTCCCTCAGCAATGCATTTTGGAACTTACAAACATAATAGTGTCCACAGAGCACTGTGAAAGCCTTACACAAAAGGCACCACAACTGTGCAAAGAATGAACTATTGTCAATATTAGTGATTCACTTCAGCCACCAAGGGAAAGCAGGTTTCCGCTTTAGAACAACAAACCAACCACAGCAGTATTTACTGAGCACTTTAAAGATAACGACAGCTACATAAATACAAAGAATTATTACAGTTTCTTTGTGAAAAGGTTAATTGCATGGTGATAAACAGTATTGCAACTTTCGAGCCCATTTACAGGTAGAATAAGCACCTTTTGGTAATAGGGAACACAAAACTAAAACCAGCCCCCTCTCCAAAGGCTCCAAGATAAAACATATACTCTCAACAGGAACGTTTCCATGCCTAAAAGTCACATTTTGGCTGAATAATGTCTTTGCTGAAGTTGGATTCAACAGGGCATAGAAAGACTTCACTGACAGTTCTACACCAGAGAGTGCCCCTGACAGCACAGCCTGTATCAGCCAGCACTAACGAGAGCAAGGAGAGAGCAACAAGCCTCTCCCTTCAACCTGTGCTAGGTCCACATTTCAAATTTTTGTATAGAGATAAGAAAAGCCAGTTATAGCACATTATCACGCAAAAAACAAGAGGACCTGGTAACTGCATCCTCACAGAAGAAAGTCATCAGGGACACAGGATCCCAGGTGTTCTTCACATGTTCCATGAGAGCTCCAGCTGTGGGGACCAGTCATGGAGGCAGCTGGACAAAGGACTTGGAAAATCTTACTCTAAATGCTAGGGAGCAGAAATGTATCTTCCCACGGACAGGCATAGTTGAAGTAGTTCTTTGCTGAGTAGCTGCCTCCTTTGGGGTGAGATGACTCTCCCAAGAAAACAGACCTGGGAGAAAGGAGGGGCCACCTGCAGATACTGGACACCTGCATATTGTTGTCTTAGCTTGCTTACTTCAGCTGTTGCACGACCAGTGTTGGTTTACTTTGTTCTCCCTCATATGCTTTGCTATCAGGGAAAAATAGGAGATCCTCACCAACAGTGGATGCTTCCACATTTTTTAGGAAGACTGCTTGATCCCTACAGCCCATCTGATATTCAATGCATGACTACTGAAGACCTTATAATGATTATTCACCTCCTTTATGAATATGAAAGGGCTTTTCACATTGAGAGTGTGATTGTTCCCAAATGTTGACCTGAAGAAAATTTAGGAAGAAAGTTCAATACTGAGGCCAGGCTGCCTAGAGTCCCTCTTGCATTCTCCAAAGCAATAGGTTCATCTTCAGCCCACTGGAGGCTCAAAATAAATCTGTCCTCTCCAGTGTTTTTTGTTAAAGAAGTCAAAGTGTGGTTCCATGTAATGCTGTGCAACTTAAGTTCCCAATAAGGCTCTTGAGATTTCTGCATACTCAGTATTTTTCAGTCTTCTTCTGAACTTAACCCTGGATACAGTCATCCTCTAAGCATCTTGCATAATTCTTTGGTTCTGTACCAGTTCATCTGCAAGTTTCTGTTAGGCACAACATTATTTTAATTTAAAAATACAGCAGCATAAATTACCTAAACAAATAGATTTTTCTGGAGTCTTCTTACATTGTTGGAAAGCTTAAAGCTTTCCTATTCAATACTGAATAGAAATTGAATAACAATTCCAGCATGCAAGTAAAGGTACACCCACTTTTGTTCTCTACACCAGAACTCTGACTTCTTACCTAACTTAATCACAGAAAGAACAACTTTATGATTTGGTAATATATATGGCTAATTTGCACCAAGTAATCTACATTCATTTGTGCTAGCTCACTAAAAGATTTCTTTTCAACACACCAAAGAAAAAGGACAACAGCTACTGAATCCTAGGCAGACATTTTTAAAGTAAGGAATATTTTGTTTCCTTACAGTCTTCCCTGTCTTCAATTTCTAAAGCAATTCTTCAGTAATTTGCCAAGGTTTGAAGGCAGGTGAAGCGCCTGCATTTATGTACTGAACTAACTATACGTCAACTTACTGTAAAATAAACTCTAATGCTTTCGTGGCTAACAGCACATGGTATAGACTGTTTATACTGCAAAAATGACTGGGTTTTAATGTGGTGTCTTACAGCAACGTGGTTAAAACATAGCTCTTCACAAACCATTGACAATTTGCACTGCCTTCCCCATGCAGGCACTAGTAGCGTGTCGAAGCATCTTAACCACAACAAAGGCCAAAACTGCTGTTGAAAGTTCATTTTCCATGCCTGTGTTAATTGGTTGGCCTGTTTGAGTATGACTACATGTAACCCTCTCACTAGCTGTTGAAATGCCTGTACGCTGCACACTTCTCCCTTAGCTCCTGTCACAGACCTGGGGAACAAGTGCATTGCATAGTAGCTGCAGGTACTAAACCATAGTGTCACATATCTGTGGGTGCAGAACATACCTATACTGCTTGTATAGTGTCTGTGCTGTTTGTTGTGTCCAATAGCTAAATTTCTGATGTACTTGAGCCAGTGAATATGTGCCCTGGTTGATTTGCTCAGCAACTGGTCCTCCCCTAGCTAGAAAAATGCGCATATGTAGGCTGTAGGGTTAGGGATGGATCCCCTTAGCACTGCATCGGCATTGCAAAATGCTGTTAACTGCTCCGTGGTGTTTCTGTTGCTGGACAGACTGTCAGATCAAGAGGCTACAGCTGAGAGGACATTCCCTTGCATTTTGTTTGGTTGGCAGCCTTTGTAATAATTTGTAATGCTCTGGGTCAATTTTACGGATCTTCACTTAGTAGCCTAAATGTTACCAAAGCCCTGGGCTGGCAGGAGAACCTTTCCTGTTGTGATGTTGCAGGCAGGATCTCACCTCTAGCCTCATGTGGCACCTGAAGGTAGAGAGGAATGGTCTGAACTAGCACTGTCAGCAAAGGGAGGGCAGTGGCACTGTGGGGCTGCTTCAGGACCAACTGAATCCAAACACGTGCAAGGTCTGGGCATCTTTCTGGCACAAGGGCCAAGTGCTCCGGACCCACACACATGCCGAGGCACCTGTTACAGGTGTGTGGCCATGGCAGTATGGGGGTGTGTGTCTGAAACAGCAGGAGTGCTTGCCTGTGTGGGGACGCGTGCGCTGCAGGCATGGAGGAGCAAACGTCGGTGCTGGGACCGGTGGGTTCCAGGCAGGGCTGTAGTGCAGACACAGCTCCTGGGCCAACCCCTGCTCTTGTCACAGTCCTGCATTCAGTGATGCCAGGCAGAGGCCCTAGACCATAGTCACCCCATGGCAAGGGCCTCATGCATCTGGGAGCATGTGCCAGAGAGACTAACCAGTTCTGCAAACGGTTCCAACAAGCCCTTCTCGAGCAACCTAGGTTTACTGTCATGCTACTGTGGTCAGGGCAATTCTCTGTCAAACCGCATTTGCTGCAAGGCTGCATTAGCTTTTCCTTTGCTTTTCCTTTGCACGGAGGAGTCGGAGGATGCGTTCATTTTTTGTTAGTTCTGCTGGCAGTTCATTTGCCTGGAACAAAAAAAACCCTTGAGGTTAGCAGAAACCAACAATTATTTCCCAAACATGGTTTAAAATTATGAAAGTCTAAAGAAGACTGTACTGGCCATTATAATGATGTGTTATTCCAGTGCTGCCTCCACCACTGTTGAAGATATCTTAAGGAATCATCTTTTATTGTGCAAGTCTCACTCAAGTTTCCAAATAATCCCAGTGTAGGATTTGAGTGATTATCTTACTTTGTGCTGACTGTCCAGGCTAAATGGTATCGCTTGGGCTCCCTATGCTTCTGCCACAGAAGTAACAGAGAGTATAGCTGCTGATTTTTGGGAGGAGATGAGGCAGGTCTTTATGTCTAAAGTCATGTCATGTCTTTGTGTCTAAAGTCCATTAAAATCCAAGGGAAGACTTTCATTGGTATGAAATTGTGCTATGCTGTAAGACTGGTAATAGAACGTGAGTTTGGGTTTTTTTTGTAATTTATTGAATACAATTTTAGTAATATAAACTACCTACAATGAAGCAACTTCTGGAAATCAGTAATTCTGTCTTGCAAATATACTCTGTGGTGCCAGATTGCAAGTTACTAAATTTTTTTTAAAAAATCTACAGTCATAGACTTTCTTATACTGCACACCCTGCTGCTGCAAATCCCTACTGGTAGCAGAAAATTCTTGTACATTGTTCGGATTATAGTATCAAACCAAAATGCCTATTAACCCGGACAATGGTGTGAGTGGCATTAACTCTGCTGCCATCAAGTGGAATGACACAGAAATTAACAGCCACAGATTTTACAGTAAATGATTAAAATGTTTAGAAGATATGTGCTGGATTACTTGTATTACAAACTTTATTTCACCCAGTCATAAACCAGAGGACAGTACCAGACCATCTATTCACAACTTAACAAACCCATTTAAATATCAAATGCTAGTACACACAGTTCAGAAACACACGTCAGAGGAAGACATTTTCATGGAAATTATCAAACACTTTTAAGTTAAAGTGTTAAAACACTTTACAGAATAAAACCAGGACAAGTGTTCTACAGAAAAGTTGCTGTTATAAAAAGAATGCAAAACTAAATCCATAAACCAACAGACTGACAGTAAGATATGGGAAAGATGCATGTAATTTGGGATATCTTTTGTGTATTAGCAATGTGCTGAATCCTAACCAAGTTTTCTTATCAAAGGTACCCAGATACACATTTTTCTTTCTGCCGAAATATCCTTGTTATGCACCTGTATGGAGACATGAATATAATTTATGACTTATCAAAACACTAACAGATTATTATTTCCATAAAATGCAACCTAGCTAACCCACGACTAATCATAGTTAACAATTTAATCTGTGGTGCTCTAGTGAGTGAGTATGTGCTTTGGTTTATTCTCAGATTAATCTAAATTCTCAAGAATCAGCATCACCAGTGGCTCTGCCTAGCACCCTTACAGATGCTTGTGTACAGAAACGAATGGACTAAATAGTGGTGCTTCAGGAGAGCATCCAGAGGCAACCACAGACCAACACAGAAACATAGGCTGCCACTGCTTCCATGGTGCACACAGCTCCACCACTCTGTGCTCCCTACTTACTTCTCATCTGGAAGGATGAGGTGCCAGGACATACCTTGTTCCTCAGGCATGGGTCTGCTCCTGCCTCAAGGAGCAGTGCCACCGTCCTCACGTTGCCACTCAGGACAGCTGCATGGAGAGCAGAGGTCCCATTCTAGAAAATACCAGTTGAAATGTTTGCACTGTGCATGGGAAGAAAGCTAAGAGCAATGAAACATGAACGTTTGCAAAGAACAAACCTATGAATGAGAAATAAGTAACATGGAAGAGATTAGGTCGTCAGAGACATAGGGTCTGATTTAGACAGGGTACTGGAAGGATAGTGGCCGATGAAGGAGGTGATTTTAAATACTTTAATGAAAATGAGAGCCAAGTTCCCTTTACCACAGCAATATTTCCTTTTAAAAATTACCCTTGTCAATAGATTAGAGGTGAAATGAACACAGCACTTGCTTCTGCTTGGCAAAATCAGCCATTAGCAAGTGAAACAGAAACGTAAGCAGTAATGGAAACCATCTGTGCATTTTATCTTCTTTCTCTGATGATTAATGGCCTCAATGTCAGACAGCTGAATGGTGGGGGTTTTATGGCTGGCCTTTTGTTTGTGGTTGCAAACTGACAGTTCAAATAAGTGTGGAAGCCATTTCATACTTGTAATTAATAACTAAGTTAATGTCACCTACATTTTCAAGTACATCAATTTGCCAGTCAGTTGCATGCACAGAGGCTATCAAAGTCTGTGATTTATAGGCACATAAAACTAGATCAGCCATTAAAATGCAACTGCCATATATCTGTTATTATTCAAGTCCCTTTTTGAATTCAGAGGGAAAAAATCAAGTAGAGAATCTCCTCACAACAGATGCCTTGGGACACTATTTTGCTGACTAAATGCAATAGAGGGCTTGCTATAACACTAAAAACTGCACTGCCAAAACCAACTGATTTACAGTAGAAATAAAATCAGGTAACAAAAAGCAGGAGAATTTCTTCTATGACACAATGTGCTTCCTCATTCCAAAAATTTAATTCACAGTTTTGTTCAAAAAGATTCATTTTTCTGTGGCATAGAAGACTAAATAAGATAATTACATTTTTTTCTTGTCTTTTTTTGGGCTCAAGCCCCTCTTATCCTCCCTTAGCATAGTTCTAAACACCAGGTCTTTCATCAGACCCTTTGAATTCTTAAGATTCTGCCTAATATCTGTGTGTTTCACTACTAACCTTTAGCAAGCCAAGTGTGGGAGAGAATTTCAGCAATTCTTCTATCACATTGTTGTACCCTTTAATGGCAGCCTTCAGTAAAGCAGTCGTACCATCCTTTAAAAGAGAGAGGAAGGTCAGTTCAATCATTACCAATGCGCTACCTGCATCCCCCTTGGCAGGAGGGAAATGCCAGCTCTTCCTGCACCTCTGAAAAGAGGGTCTCCTCTGCCCATCATCTTTGAGGAGGCACCTCCACAGCATGTGCTGCTGGTTTAGGGTGCCTTGAGGATTGTTCACCTGGAAGGTGAAAACTTCAGAGTAAAATGAACCAGTGACACCATATAGCATCTTTGTCTCTCATCTATATGGACATTTCCATTCCCTTGTTCCAGAAGGTACCCTCAGGAAGCTGTCCCAGACACAACAGGAAAAAGGAAACCCATCACAGGACTTTGCAACCTGGCCAACAGGACAGACCCTGGGGACACCAAGCCTCCATCCAGGCAGACTTAGAGCCCCTCAAAAAGCTAAGAGGCATTAAGCTGCAAGCAGAGTGCAGGAAGGAGTGCTACTCACATCCCGCGCAGCATCTCGCTCAGCTCCCCGGAGCAGCATTACTCGCACCACTTCGCTGTGACCCATCTGTGAGGCAATCCACAAGGGAGCTGTCCCATCCTGCAAGCAAAATAAGACTGCTAATGGTTTCACTTGGATGTCCTGTGCTCTCTGATATTTTGCCACCCAAGCCTGCCTGCTGGAATGGATGTACTCAATCAAATCCTGCATCACAGGTAGACATATGCAGAGCTGTGTCCAAAAAGCACATGGGATGTCGGTGTATCGAGTTAGAACTGCTGCAGTTTGTGGAGGCATCCTTACCTGCTTTCCCTTGCATAGTTGGCTGGAAATGTGCATGGCTATGTGAACAGTTAAAGCTCTCTTTGGATTACCAGCTGTGCCTAAAATGCATGAGGAAGTTTGAAACATGAAGGCTAAAGGTATCCTGTGTACTTTGAAGTCTAGGTGGTTAGATGTGACAGAAGATACAGACAAACATCAGCATGCACAGGCAGGTTCTGCAGCTGAGTGTCTGTACACAGGGAGTGAAGGCTGTTTGCAGAAGTTAAGGAGCAATGCAAGATGATCACTAACTTTCAATATCAAGTCACATTACCCACCCTCAGGGAATCTGGTAAAAATGTCCTGCCTTACAGTGATGGTGGGTATTTCACAAATTTTATCTGGCAGAATAAAATAACACAAATATCAAGGAATCCAGCACAAAACAATCTGCTTTGGAAAAATTGTCCCACACAACCATTATTTGAGCAGAAAACCTCAGAACATAATATGCACATTCAGAATAAGCTAAATTTGTGATGAATTTCCATCCCAAAGGCAAAAGTGAGATGAAGCACTACAAGTATTTCTCACTGCAATTAGAATTTAGTTTTGTGTCTTTTTCTCCTTTTGCTTCTAAATGGTCTGATTCTCCGGACTGCAGGAGGACTCCAGCAGTTATGTGGTGCCAAACTGATTCTCGTGGGGCTTTTAACAAAAGGCTTTGCCTGTATGGACTTTAACATAAAGTGAGGCCTCACCTAGCAGGGTGCCTGCTTCTGCCTTCAGGGCTTGCCAGTTCCCCTCATAACCCTCAGCAGCCTGAAGACTTGGCTTGAAAGAGGAAGACAAAATATACTGAGGCTTCCAAAAGGGCCTTAATGAGAAGTTACAGAAGAAAACAGCTTTTTAGTTTAAATAAGATATTTCCACCTTGTTCAAAGAAGCAACCTCTCTCCTCAGTGCCCAGTGAAGATTCCTATGACTTGCTCATGCAATCCAAAAAAACATTGTTGAACCAGCTCTCTGCTTTCTATGGGCTAGTGACTTAATCCTTTTGAAGTAACAGAAAAGCTATTTCTTTCTTTGGTATAATATTCTAGGCTTCCCTTTTTCTGAGAAAGAGAAAATGAACTTCTTGAAATCTTCAGTATTCTCAAATGGTAAGGAACAGGATCTTTGTCCACTCTTGTACAATTTCTCTATAAATTAACTCATTAAAATTAGTGACTGACCTCACTCTAGTATATACCCTGTTAATACAATGATTACATGCAATACAATATTCTTTGTGATTCAAAATAGCAAAGACTGTCTCATATACTGCATGTGATGTTAATGCGATGACAAAAACTGTCCCTCTCCAATTTATAGTGTTTTCCTCACCAGTAAGCTGACACTTCATATTTTTCTAATCTCTCCCCACCAGAGGGCTCTAGAAAATAGCAGTAGGTGCACTGAAAAAGCCTATAAGACTTGGAAAATATCTGAGAGCAGCCTACACAATTTAATCTGCATGAAGAACCAATGCTGTGCAAATCCATGCTTGTATTTACACAGGAAATGCAAGTACAAGGTCAGCACAGGGAACATAGCAGATTTTTTTAACTCACAGTAAAGTTTGTAAGAACAACTCTTATTTTCAGGCATAAATGAAAAGGGGCAGAAGGAATTACAAGGATTGGGTAACATCACTGCTACCGTTAATTGTCCTTAATAATATAACTGTTAGACATCACCCTCAGCATCTCAGTAATAGGCTAGAGGCAAAAACACATTATGAGAAAGAGTGGCTGTCTTGGAGGACTTAGTCTGTAGAGAAGTAAGATGATGAAGTTGATGATGGGCTCACATTGACTATGGTCAGCTTCTTTCTCTTAAGCAAACAGCATCTAACATGTGAGTTTATGCAAACATGTACAGCATTTATATGGAGTAGATGAGATTTCAGTCCATTTTCATGTTGGTGTATGAGGCAAAAGAGCTATTACATTGTATTAAGAGACCACATGAGAATTCTTGTGTAAACAGGCATTAA